TTCCATACAGTGGATAAATTAATGTTAATTAATCAGACAGTCATTTTATGAAGAACTGTGTGCAAAAGGTTATTCGAGCCCTGCTGCAAATAGATTTATAGGTATAATTGCCACGTTGAATGACCCTCTGTACATAGGCTCATTAAACTGGCCATCAGTCAGGAAGTCTAATTGAGGCAGGCTGCTAGTACACTGCTGGGACCACGCAGCTGCCTGCAAACCAAACGGCTCCATGGAGCCAGCTCTGAAAGCCACTGACAATATCCACCTCCCACCCTCCGGGCACCTCCTGCCACTGCCCCTCCTGCCAGCCAAAGCTCTGGGCAGGAAGGAGCGAGGAGAGAGGAGAGATCCTGTGCCCATCTTGGCTCCACATCATCTGCAATGTGCATGGGGGGACTGGGCGTGGCGTGGAAATGCTCTTCTTGGCAGCCGTGGCTTCCAAAAGCCTTTCAGGGCTTCCCAGCTGGGAACAGCTTCAATGTGTAGGCTTCAAAGGTGCCAGGATCAGAAAGTGAATTTAAAGACACTAAAGACTCTTGATGACATTTTGTATTTGAAGAGCATCTCTTGACTTTGCTGGGGTGGGGGAGCATGGGAGGGTCCAGCCCAGGAGCTGAAATGCCCAGGGCTGGCCATCAGACACACACAAACCTAGAGAGGGAGGCAGCTCTCTATTATTTCTGCCATTGCTGCCCAAAGCCATCTTTTTTCTCAGATTTGTGGGAGGATCACCTCTTATTTCATGTACTCCAAGGGCCTTGCACCCAGGGCAAAAGAAACCCAAATCAGAGTCACAGACAGGTAAACCAATTAAAACACTTTGAATGTGTTCACATGACGTATTCCTGTACTTATGTTATTCACACTTCTGGAGGTCACTTCTAGTTGTGTATCTCCCTGATCTACACATAAACACAACGTGTTCTACCAACAAGGCAGCGTTTCCTCCTGTAATATTTTTCCCAACCTACGTAGGTCTTCAATTTCTCTTGCTCTCCTGCCCCAAAGCAAGCCATGTTTGTAGTCACACGTGAAACAGACACCTTGGCTGTGCACACTTCAGTCTTCACTCAAGTGTTGGCTGAGGTCCCCTCACCCACAGAGAGCTCCACTCATCAATGTGACTGGGCAAAGGTGCTGCCACTTTGTGTCACACCAGCACTCAGGGGGCTGCAGTGCCCACCCCAAGCAAATCCCAATGCTCCTGCATGGGGTTACTGTCCTTTCCAAGATGCAGGCTGATGCTGCCCAAAAGAACACAGTTTTAAAGCACATACTGTGCAGCCCTACTCATACTGAGCAGTGCCAGGCAGGGCTTTCCCACTTTGTGTCACAGTGGAACGCCTCCAGCCCCTGGGAGCTGAAGTACAGCAGCCCATTGACATATGGTAAGAGAATGGTGCCTCAAAGGATATTTGATATTTCAGTATGCAGCCATGCATGTCACTTTGTCTTGGGAAAAGGAGGAGAAAAATGCTCTTCCTCTGTCTACAACGTCTGGGCTATAGGCATTCCTTGTAACACACTCTTAAATGGTAAAGACAAGTTTCCACTTTACCGGTGCCTCTAGTTCAGAAATAAGGAGAGGAAGGCTTTAAATATCAGAGACCCTGACCTCACTGATAGTGATTTCATCACTAGACTTCCTTAGGTGTTGGGATTTTAACCTGTATTTCTAAGGAAGGACCCAGATCTAGTTTGCTGAGCCTGCTTTTACATGTGTAGAAAGGTAAGGCTAGGTTTATGCAAACATCTAGCAAGAGAGTAAAAATCTATGGATCTATGGCCTTCTCACTCGCCTACCTAATTTTAAGTGATGCAAAAATCCCAGCTATGTGCTATGTATGCATGCAGAACAGTGTAGACAAAAAGGAAGGAAAAACAACTGCCCACCTTGTATCCCACTTCTGTGCTGCCTCCAGTGCTTGGCACACTCCCAGGGGACATGCAGGAATGTACTCAAGGAGGAGGACAGCTTACAGGACAGTAAAATAAAGTGCTTTGTGCTTCCAGTCCACTCAGGAAATTGCTGACCTGTTGCTTCTTCAAATGCCAGACCCATAAGTGAGGCTGAAATGAAGTTTTACTCTTCAGTCCTCTCTCCTAAGTGAACATCTACTTTAAATGCAGCCAAGTGTGCTAAAAATGAGCAGCTAGAATTTGCCTTCAATCCAACGGGCTGACGGTGGTGGTGTCTTTGTGGTATTCCTAGATTTAAAATACAGTCTCTGTTAATCCAATATAATCATCTTTTCCATTTCTCTCTGATAGTCTCATATTTTTCTCTTACAAACCATCAAGATTGTTTTTGTCTTCAGCTCCTCAGCTTTTTGCAGCACAAGGAACCTGGAGAAGGATTAGAAACTAGTAACATGTTGGTAACCACGATCATGCATTTCAATCAGTGAGGCACACCCTCAAATTATAGCATTCCATCAAGTTCCCAACACCAGTTTTATAACCTAAGTTTCTGCTTTGGCTCTTAGAGTTACCTACTCCTGTGCAAAGCAGATTCCTGCTATTAGCATGAGTCTCTTCTAAATAGTAGCGGCTTTTTGCAGGCTTTCTATAAAACCAAATTATCTCCCCTTGAGAAGGAGAAAACTCAGTACAATGGATTGAAAAAGATAGTACCCAAGCCAACAGCCTTTTTTCAAAGGAATATTTCCCAGTGATTTAAACCCCACCGTGTTAGCTTTGCAGGACTGCCACGTTTGGCTAGGTAAGCTGCCCAGTCCACAGCAATGCAGCACAGCAAAGATTTTTTAGATCATTTCCTTTTATTCCCCTCAGTTTTAAGATTAATTCAACCAGAAAGTTTCTTTGCAAATGCAGCTTTTCATAAGGACCATTTCCATCTTAACTCACATAACATATCGTATTAAATCCACATGACCAGTTCTCATTGCAGCACAGGGCTCCTGTTCTCAGGGAGAGGTTCATGCTGAGAAGACAATGTGACAAGGAGAATAAGAGTTTGCTCACTCTCAAGGGAAGCAATAGATGCCCAAGAAGCAACCAAGGCAGATGCCACAAGAACACACACACGAGGACAAATCAAGACTGGCCAAATTAAGGACAGAGATGCCACAAAACCAAAGATGAGTTGTTCAGCAGGAGCAGGATGTGAAACCCAGCTGCTCTAAAACCCAGCAGACCTGAACATGTCCCCTCACAAGCGTGAGGGATGTCACAGGCACTCACCTGCTCTCATGTTAGATGTCTGTGATGAATAATGCCAGGGTGACACAAAGCAAACTGTTTATTCAGATTAACTTTTTAATCTCACCTCGCCTTCAAAATAAATTACCGAATAAATTCTTCCATGAACTATGCTCTAAACTGAGGTGGTCAAAGGACAAAAACTTCCCACCAGAGAAGAAAAAAAGAAGAAAAAGAAAAAAAGAAGAAAAAAAAAAAAAAACCCAAACTTTTTGTGGAACTTATTTTGGTTTCACTGATTTGTTTCTTCCCAAAACGTTAGGATTCTCCAAAATCTTAACCTGCCACAAAAATCAGAATGCAGTAAACAGCAGACTTTTTGCTCAATCATATATTAGTTAAATGATCATAAAGCAATACCAATACTTTAAGATAATTGCTTCTACAAAATCCTGATAAAAACTTTCTTGGAAAACAGTAATTTTAAAAAAATGTTTGAGTTGGTTTTGATGTGTCATACCAGCCTGTTTTATTGGGGTAACCGGGTTTTAAAAAAATGAAATAAACCCCCCCTGACAACAGCATTTTGCAGCAGGTTATTTCAATGTACAACAAGCTCTTATAAATTAAGCCCCAAGACACCCCTGTAAGCCAAGGACTTTACAAGTAGGGAAACTTGCATCAACAGGGTAAGTCACATGTGAGATCATACAAGGGCTCTGTTGACTCTTGCGATGAACATGTCACATCACAATATTTTGTAGAGGATGATTTATTATGCCTATGATAATTACTGTTCAGGTTTCATATTAGTGTTATCCTGCTGGAAGGAAACCCCTCTGTAGGCCAGGATGGTTTTAAGTAGAGCAGTCTGATCCACTACAAACCTTTTTCATATTTAACCCATAACTGAGACCTTTAAAGCAGTAAACCTGCCCAGCTCCTCATTTATTTTGGTACCAAAACAGAAGAGCTGCATCATGCTAAAACTGCAAAGTAAGGCTGATGTAGCAAGAGTAGATGTAGAAAGAGTCATTAGAGAAGCACAACTCTACAGATCACAGGGTCTGTGTCCCTTCTTTGACCCTAGGTTGGGTTTCATCCCCCACCCCTTCCCTTTTGTTTTGCTTTGGCTTGGCTTTAGATTTTGGCTTAGCCAGTTGCCAGTGTTCACAGACACCTCTTCCCAAGGGACTTATCTCGCCCTCATTACCAGCAGTGTCCCATTGAAGGATGTGAAATATCCTTGCTGCTGAGCTCAGGCTGCAGTCCCTGCTCTGGGGATCACCAGGGAAAGCCCCGCTCCCTCTTCTCCTTGCCAGGGTAGAAGTCAGTGCCAGCACCTTGAGCAACCCCACATCCATAGTTTTCTACTTGCACCATCTCTTTCCATAGCCAAGAGATGAGAAGCTTCCCCTGCCAGCTGCCCACAGCACCAGGCTATCAGGCAGCTGGTCTAACTCTTCACTAGCTGCTTTCTGTCCCTCTAGTCACAAGATTATTGATTAATAATTGTATATTTCTGTAAAAGGGCAAAAATGCCTCTCTGTGTGAAAAAGTTTAAATATATAAAAACACTTCATAAAAATATTTATTTAAAAAACCAAAATGCCCCATGAGCCTGCAAGCACTGCCTGTAAAATCTCTGCTAACTGCAGTAACTTGATATACAGTCGTTCAGGCTCTTTTCTGCCCTGTCCAGTAAGATTTTAAGATAACCAATAGAAATGCCACTTGTCTTGTACTTTGACCCTCATCCCACCCGTTTTTTTAATCTTCTTTGTTTCCAATGTGATAGTTCAGTTTCCCAAAGCTGGTTATTTTCTTTGGAGGCATCATTTGTCTTTGTTTTTAACAGAGTTCTGCATGTCCTGATTCTGAGGCTTTCTTATGGAGTGGGCTTGAGGTCTGATAGGTAACATGAGCAACACCAGGATGCTTAGAATGTGCATGTGAAAATACATAGACCTGGGAACAAAAGGAGAAAGAGAATATTATATTTTTGTTGGTAATAACATGAATCGTGCAACCTCAGCAAGCCCATGCAGAATTTAGTGCTAGGAGATGAGACCTGACCAAGACAGCACAAAAACACCCCCCTGAATTTCACACAGCTTATGCACGTGCTGTCTCCTGGCATTGATGAAAATGTTGCCGTGGGTGTTAATGAGACAAGAAATCAATCAGCAAACTCCAGAATCCAAAGCCTGACAGCTCAGATGTCATGTAATTCAATCCCAGGCTTATTCAGGCCACCTCTCTTTTAATGTTATAGTATACAAGGCTAAATTCTGAAGAAACATCCTTCATCTTCAGGATATAAAGCTTGAAAAAGTTTTTTTTTAAAAAGGAAAAAGTAACAGATATCTAAAAAATCATTCCAAGTGCTGAGATCTCAAATAAGTCAAAACATTCATCTTCTAACTCAAAAGGTCAGGTAATGATGTTTACAGAAGGGTTGTGGTTTTGAAGGCAGCTACTCACAGATATTTTGATTTGATATCTTGTTAAATATCAAATATTTTTATTTTGAATAATTCCGTATACACAAGATTGAACAGAAATAAAAAATACTTAAACCGAAAACACGGGCCTCTGGCAGCTTGGGGAAGACGATGTTTGGAAGCAGCATGGTCCATCTCTTAACCACAGAAATGCATCTTTCTGTGTTCTCATTTATGTTTCTTATCATAATTCTTAACATCTTTGTAAGGTGCTCAAGACCATTGCTAGGTGTGCAGTGCTCCAAAATGTCACACCCTGCTCCAAAGCCCCACAATCTCCTTGCTTAACAGTCTCTAAGCTTAACTGTTAACTATGTTCAAAGCTACTAAGGCAATAAATATTAAGGAATTAAACTAAGAAAGATTTGGAGAAATTTTTATCTAGTAAGCTTTCTGTGCTGCAATCAAATGTTTTAAGGAACAGGAATAGAAATTGTCAAAATTCAACCTCCTTCAAACAGATTTCCTGACAGCAGCTATCTTGACTAACAGTTTTATGTCTTCTATGCTAGCGGAGGAAATTCTCTTTCTTTTTCACCAAAACCTGTTACTCTATGTTGACAGCTCATTGTACAATGTAAGAAAAGTAAAGCAAAGTAACCCAGTCTCCCTTTTCAAATTATTTTCTCAATTTCTAATTATTTTTATTAGTGTATATTCAATATACTCTGCAACATCAGTGTTTTCTTATTTTTAAGGAACCTAGGGAAGTACTAACTTCCTAAGGAAGTATTCAAAAACAAAATCATACTCATTTCATGAAATAATGCTCTGCCAGGAGCCCTGCTTATCTCCTGCTGATGGATCACATCTCATGTTCTACACATCCAGCAGCTGGAAACCTGGTCTCATGTCATCAAGTCCTTCTTACTGCCAGCTCACATTATTCTTAACCTCTCCAGCCTTGGCCATGGTAATGGTTGACACTCAACTGTTTTGTGAAAGGAAACTTGAGTATATGAAAGTCACAGGGGGACAGAGAAAGACTGAGAAGTACAAGTGGAGTTCTCTGCCTTGGTATTATTATCATCTCATTAAGTTACAGGAAGGCAAAAAAAATCACCCCTCTCACATTATTAAGCATCCTGTTTGAATTCCTTTCAAATCTGATGAAATGCCAGCTGCCTTTCAGGGTGGTTTGGGCTATTTAACAAAAGCCTGTGCTTTTATTCTGAAGAAGAATATTCAAGAGGAGTGAACTTACTTGTAAAACTTAATGGTGGGCTCCACAGCCAGCATAACAAAAGGTGCAACAGTGTAGGACACGGACAGCTGAGTGACAACCCAGGTGACAACATCGTAGGCTCTCTTGAGAGGCACTGATGAAAGGAAGTGATGTCTGCAGTTGTTTCTTATCTGCCGGTCAGAGAAAAGGAAACAGAATTATATACATTCATTTCTTAGGTGAAGTCACACAAGCACTTTGTAGTGACTCTCCACTTAGCATTAGTATTACAGAAAGGTTTACACGCCAGTTAGGAGGACAGTACAAAGACAGAAGTGTATTGACTGACACATCTAAGACCTCACAATCAACTAGTGGCAAAGGGAGATGTCCCCTAACTTCCTCTCTCATAATCACAGGAGCAGAGTCTAGTGCTGGGTGTCTGTCTGGTACAGTATCTTTGAAGAGGGGACCAGTTATAATCTGATTTCCCTCCCCCTTTGTTTTCATTTATTACCGGTTATCAACAGTGAAACAAAATGACTTTAAATTAACTGATATGTGTTTATACCTGCAAGCATGTGCTGTTCCCTAGAGATTTTGGTTTAGCTTTACCTCTATGAAATCCTCATAAATGAGAGGCAAAGCATGTGTTGAGACCACACATTCAGCAACCTGTTCTAGCATGTTTGACCTTTCAAACTGACCTGCTTACTTATCCATAGTCAAACTCTGAAAGACAACAGTGGTGCTTCCCAACCCTGCACAACTGGCTGGCTCAGCCTGAAAGATCAGCAGTGATAAATTTAATGACAGTGAGATGCAAAACCTGTTCTGTCTTTGGTGACTCTACAAATTTGCCAAAGATAAGGCCCATAAACACAGAGACCAATTTACTGCATCAACTGCATCCATGTGGAAGAGTTCACGTTTGGGCTAATGCTCAACCCATAACAGCTTCTTGTGAAAGACTGTGCCCAGAGTTGACTACATGCCAGCATACAGGCAACATGACCCAGCAGAAATCTGGCCTCAGGTTTAACCTTGAATCGCAAGCTAATCTGGGACATAGTGCATAATGTCCATAATGCATGGATATAGCTGGTGGCACTACCATGGGTACACTTAACAAGCAATGTCTCCTCTGACAGCCAAGGTCAGCACTGCAGCACGTGCAGAACTGATGCTGGTTGTAACTGCTGGGGGTACTTTGTAATTAGCATCAATACAGAACAAAGTTTCAATGAACATCAGTCCCACAAAGGCATGAAAGAGGACTCACAGCAGGGACAAGCTGCTTCACTGTGTCAGGGTGGTCCCTGCAGATGATAGCTGGGTGGGACCTAGCATGGGCCTTAGAAGAGAACAATGAAGGGTACATACTGCTCTGGCTGCGAGTGTGATAAGGATTCCAGTGAGAAATGTAAAATAATATCCAGGATAGACACCATGCCACAGGGCTGAGAGGAGGAACGTTAAAGCCGTGGGGTACCAGGGAGCTCTGTCATAGCAAACACTGCAAACAGGAAAACAAAACAAGAGGAGGCTGAACACAACTGAACAACAGACCCTGCGCTTCAAATCCTTCTCTAGTTTTAAGGTCTCACTCTGTTTTCTTAACGATCTTATCTTGCCTCTGTTACAGACCAGGGCACGAGGCACTCTGCCTTCATTTAGATGGGAGGGTGCGATGGACAGAAGAAACATGCTGCTTCTGGGCACCCAGTACCCAGAGGGTGCCTGTACAAACATTCCCACTGCTTACAGCATTTACAGAAATAACAGAGCAAAGGGCAGGCAAGATTTCTCTTTCACTTTTAGACCTCCCTCTGGAACCACATGCTACCCTTCAAAACGCTGATCCCAGATCAAGAGTGAGTCAAAAGACAAAGAGACGTGACCCCACCCACCCTTCCCTGGTGAAGAGAGTTATTTTTAGCAGCGCTATCTGGCAGATGTTGGGAACAACACAGAATGTCGTAAGCTATTGCAAAACAGGGGATTCCTGCTAAATTTAGCAGCCCAAAATCTTACTCTGTAGACGTAAGTGGATGGTAACAGCTCAAGAATACACCAACTGGTCTATTTGTCTATCTGAAGTTTAACTGAAATGCAGTGTTCCAAAGAAATGAGTCAAGATAATGCACTTCTTATCAGGAACACCATCTGAACCATTAAAAACAGTAGACATTGACTTCTAAGATGCACATGTTTAACAGCAAAAATAGTTATGGTAGCCACAATAAATCTGTGCCTGTGTTTCAGACACCACATTGACTGTGGCTGAGCTTTAATCAAGCCAAGAAGTGTAATCAGCAACAGGAGATCGTTCTAGCTACAAAACTTGACTGATGCTAGTATTTATATACTTAACAGTCAGGGGTTAAAATCAGATCTCCTCAGTGCTATTAGAAGTCTCTTCTCCATACACTAAACAGGGACTCCCTTGCAAGCATTTCTGGTAACTCCCGACCAGACTACACTGGGGCTCTGAAGATTTCAATTTGTCCTGTTCCAACTGAACTGGATCCAGTGGCACAGCAAGGCTAACTTCTGGTAGGAATACACATGGGAAACATAACATAGCCAAGTGAAACAGTACTGGAAGAATAATGGAGGCAAACAGCAGCCTAAAAGATGCCTTCAAAACACTATCACTTTTTATTATGGGAGATCTGAAGTTCATTTGTGGCTTTGCTGCTGCTATAGAAAACACAGGCATTTTACATTTGCAGCAATAAAACTTTACAGCACCAAATACCCTTGTATTCCACCAGCTGCTACAGACACAGGAAACAAGGAAAGAACAAGAGGCTATACATTTATGGGATTCACCAGTCAGCATTTTTCCAGGCCATCTAGGGTTTCTGGGTTCCACAAGCACGTTACTGTTTCACCCCTCTTACCGTTTTAGCCAGGCAGCTGTCTGAATGTTCCAGTTTTCAATGTACACTTTAAAACTTGTCGCAGTCTAAGAAAGAAGTTCACACGAAATGTTAGCACTGAAATCTGTAAAATAATACTTGTGTTTTAAATTAGAGAAGAGATAGATGGAAAATACTAATTCTAGTAGCTAACTGTTGTGAAGACTGAGCTACAGTCCATCGCTATTCTAACGTTTTGGGAGGGATATTAACTAGGCTGATTGCTCACCACTAAAGCTTGGCACTTGCTGTAAAATCTCACTATTCTGTACAATCAAATGTGTTTGGTTATTCTTCAAATTACAGGAAATGTGAAAAGCACTTGTATTAAATGCTTTGCTTTCCCTTCAGTTCAGAAACAGCTTCATTTTTGCAAGAGATATCTTGCCACTCACTACACAGTCTGGACATCCCTAGAGTGCTATTAAAACTGAGTGCTATAAAAACTAAAAGAAATGCTTCATTATTTGGAGAAGAAGGGAGAAGACTGAAAAACGTGAATGAAAAATTTTAGGACTAAATTTAGAAGCCAATTCTCAGCCCACTGCCTAGCTTGAGAAACCTGGGTAGGCTCCAGGGTCCTGGGAGAACCACCTACCTGTGCCTCCTCACAGCACCAGTTCCCCCAGCTTTAGGGGACTGCTGGACTCCACTCAGTATCAGTTACCCTAATCCTCGTCAACCTCACCTCTGGTGGTTCCCCATCCCCACATCCCCCTGTCCCTCGCCTGCTGACTGAAACCTTTGAGGACCTCCTCACCAAGCAGGCACATGATTCAGTGGCATCACATTATTTTGCTGTATCAGCTGCAGGCAGGGGTACACTGAAAAGGACTGAAAGCAAAAGTTTCCAAGGGGAATATACAGATATTTTTACACTACCATGCAGAAATTGAAGGCTAGAACTTCGGCCTCTGTGTTTCAGGAGTTAAAATGATTAGCAGTTCCCAGTGCAGTACGGCCACATTTTAATTGCATTACTGCACCAAGAGAAGCCAAGAAAAATATAATTTCTCTTCCAGCTAATACTGTTGCTCTCTCAGCCTCCTTTAAGTACCCCTGTTACATTAGCAAGAGAGAAAGTAGTCACTGGCTGTCAAAATATGCACGCTGCCAAGGCTCTCAAGCCCCCCACGTGCGTTTAGCCCTTGTCACATCTGAATGCCCTCACAACTCCTGCCACGTGTTTATCTTTACTATAGATGAGGTCATTCCTTAGCCACATTTAGCACCCAGGTTCCCAGCTCTTCAGCACTTTGGCACATGCAGGTGGCCATGCCTGCTGAAAACACACCCTGCAGTCACACCAACACTTCAACTCCCAGAGCTGGTGGTCGTGCATAAAGTGACAGCTCAAGCCTCACCCAAAGTAATGGCCTCTGTAGCCTCTCTCTTCTCATTGCACTCAAGATCAAACCAATGGAGAGCCTTTTGGTTTATCCTCCTGGAAATAATTTCTCCATCCTGATCTCTATTGCCCATATGACCAGTAAAGGATAAAAGGTTTTGAGGTGCCTTACAGTTCAGTGGGTAGAGAGGAGCAAAGGCTCCCATCTCCTTAATCTGGCTTGACTAAAGGGCATTGCCTTCACTTCACCTGCCTCCTTCAAGCAGGAACTGCCTCAGCCCATCAAGGCAGGAATGACCTCCTGCCCCCAAACTGAATCAGATATTGATTCAAGATCTCAGAGTGATACCTGGTGTGTTGCCACCATCAAGGAGTATAAAGCATTTCTGGGCTGTGCATTCTGTACCACTCAAGGAGACACGTACACTGAGGATTAATTAAGGTAAAAGAAAAAAAAAGACAGAGAAAGGACGTTGAGAAAGACGGAATGTATAATTATACTTCCAGCTTTGGCATCTTTCAATGAAGAATTACAGGGGCTCTCATTTTTGAGAAGAGCTATTACAGCACATTCACTTAGTCACAGATCATTCGATAGTAAAGCAGTCAACATGTTTTCATCTGCTTTTCCTTTTAAAATCATAACTAGAGAATTACAGGGGGAAGCTCCTCCTGTTTCTAAAGAAAAGAAGCCTTTAGAAAGCAGTTTCAGTCATGTCAACACTTTCACATCCCACTGGCATTCAGAAAATATCCTTTGGGGCAAACAAATTATATTTGCCATCTTTTGCATTCGAGAAACAAGCATAAATAGCTTACAAAAGACTAATGGATATTAAAAGTACACTTGAAGTCACAAGAAACGTGTGACAGATGTTTTGAGAATTGGTGTGGTTTGCTGGATGGAGCTTTAGATCAACAGCCATCTAAGCTCTATGTGGCCCTGGCAGGTCCCATTCAGGTTGCTCAGTTTGTACCTGTTATCTCTCCAACCCTTGCTTCCCTCCATTTACAAGAAGCACTCCAGGCACGTGCAGGGACCCAGCCCTTCCAAGTGTCGTGGCAGCTTCTTTCACTACCACCACCCATCTCCACTGGGTTACAAAAGTGGAGGACTGTTAGAAGTAAATAAACAGAAAACACCACAGATGGTGGAGAATCATAGCTGCGAGCAATTGATTGACCCGCTGAACTCAGCTACAATCTACAGTAATTGACTGCTCATTTATTAAACATCTGATTAATCATTTATTAGCTCTCTATAAACTATTTAGAAATGCAACCTGAACGTGGATCGTGACGAAGGCTGTGTGACAGATGCTTTCTATCTGCCCAGCAGATAAAACACAAAACCTCTCCATGTTAAAGAGGGGCAAGTCTGGTGATATGGACTTACCTTCCTTCCAGCAAAGCTCCTCCCTGTTGTCATGCCCATTTCTCTATAATTATGCCAACATAGCCACTCCTTTAACTCACCTCAATATTCCAGATATTTAAATTGGACAACAGGTCCCAGCGGAAAGTGCCTCTCTCATCAACTCCACTGAATCCATAGCCAGCTGCATTGTTGACTGCATCTGCTGCAACGTCAAAGCAGAAGAGGGTGAATCAGACTGCTGAAGGAGACATGATTCTTACAAGTCAGTATGGCACCAAATACACATTCATGCCAGTTTTGCCGTAATTAGCATCCTCTCTTTCAAAGAGAAGCTTCCTCTTGGCAAAGGGGCATTGCTGTAAGGCAACCTGAGTAATTTCCTCAAGAGGAACTAGCAACATCTTGGGCAGAAGAAATGAAAAATAAAACAACAATGGATAGAAATTACTTTTCCCATTATTTTGCCTTTATTATCCATGATAGGTACACAAGAGTTGATGTAAAATGAATTAGCATTTTCCCCAAAAAGGTACCTGGATTTCACAGCATTTCCAGAATTCAGAAAACTTGTGTCTCAAAGACATGTTTACCATTCCTATTTAGAGTTCCAACATGGTGGTTTTAATTAAGGCTTTAATTCATACTTCCACAGACAAAGCCTTTTGCTAATCCTGTTGCTCAGTGCCTCCCTAAGTACCTCACCATCTCCACAAATCAACTATCACATAACTTCAGTTACAGACTCAACTACTCTAAGTGCAAATAAAAGCTTGGATAACGGCTGGCATTTGACATGCTGCACTCTTGCTCTTTCCCAGGGCTCTGATCAGCTGCCTCCATCTCAGCCTTGCCTGGGAGTCATCTCATCCCTGAGTCTCAAGATCCTGCTTTTAAGCCCTTGACTAAGAAAACAAGAGGGACTTGCTACCTCTGGATCACTAGGTGCAGTCAACACCAAGGATTACTGGAAGAAAAAGGAAAGCAAAAATACAGGTTGGCTTTTCCTTCTAGATAATTTACAAAATATAAGCCTCATGAAGTTATGCTGTAAAAAGGTCAGCACTTCTTTCCCAAGAATGAAAATGGATTTTGCTTTGCAAGTGCTCCAAATACAAGCATAAGCTCATGGACGAACCCTAAAGCACAAAACTAGGGAGAAAACATAATTAAAAGCTAGAAAAGTGACAATAAATGAATAAATAAAGGAGTAACCTTCTCTAACCTGAAACTTTCCATTTTATTTCCCACTTTACTAAATGCTCTAGATTTTACTGATGGAGAGAAAGGTCTCTGAGTTTTTAATTCTTTCTCTGTTAAAAACAAAACCAAAACAGTGACTTTGTCTGAAATCTTATTTACCTTATGGCCTGCCAGTGTCTTGTTATGAGACCAGTAACAAGCTGTGAGGCCCATAGGACCCTGCCCAATCGCAGGGACTGGAGCTGCACAGTAACTGTCCCCCCAGAGCAAGGGGACTCCTGGATTTTCTCCTCCTTGCTGCTCCAAGGGTGCAGGGAACACTCAGTGTTTCTTTGCCAAAAGCAAGAAAACAGAAATTCAGGGATATAACAACAGAGGAGACCTGTCAGCCTCTCAGTTCCCGAGCAGCTGCCTGCAGAGGAAGGTGTGGAGCGCAGAGCAGTGGGAGTTGTCCACCCCTGAACTTGTCCCCAGCCTCAGCAGAGCCCAGGGGAGGTCCCCCTGGACCAGCCCCAGCACATCGCCTCCACAGCTCCTCAGACGCAGGCGCTCACACCCTCACACCCAAACTGCTGCCATCGACAGCTCTGAGCTGGGTTTGGAGCCACGTTCCCATGGCCAGTGCTAATGCAGCAAGAGGATGAATTTTCCATTTTTCCATGGATCTGGAGGAACTGAGCAGCAGAACACTCCCACAATATTGTCACTGTCCTTTTCCCAGGACAGGAAGCGCTCCTTGGGGCCATTTCAGCAGGGACTTCTGTAGTGCCCTGGGCCATGCCACGGGGAGATAAACTGGGAAGGGATAAAGGGCCTGCTGTTCTGCTGCCTGGATTTGTGATGTGAGGACAGCAGCCTTGCCCGCCAGTATGCAATGCATGCTTTGCCCAAACCCCTCACTTCTAAGGTATTTCTACAGCCTTAGTCATGCCACATATCCAAGTTCAGTTTATCTCTTTAATAATGGACTTTTAGTTAATTACAATGCCAGAAAGAAAAAAAAAAGAAAAAATGGAGGCAACAATTTAACACTGGATCCCACAAAAATAAGCTTCTGAGCAAGCAGTGCTTTATCCCAAAGCTGTTCTCATCCCACACATGCCAGTCCTGGCTGCCCTCCCTCGATCTGTCACTTTTACTCCCAGCAGTTTAATCACAGCCTCTCAGTGAGTATCCCTGGCCCTCTCCATCCCATCTCAATGACACTCTTCTCAGTTTCATGTGTATGCATTGTTAGCTGGGTTCTCATGATCTCCCCTTCCCACAAAGTTTTGCAATACTACAAAAAATTCATTCTCCCAATTTCCAGCCTGGTCTAGAAGGATTTGACTCCTTACACAGATGGGAGAAGGTGGCTTCTAAAAGGAAGAAGGTAAAATACAAAAAGATGATTTTGACCACCAGTCTAGATGGCTCCAAATAAAATAAATTTGCTTGTCTCCATAATGAACCCTCTCTCTTCTCTTCTCTCTGTTCTTCTCTTCTCTTCTCTCTGTTCTTCTCTTCTCTTCTCTCTGTTCTTCTCTTCTCTTCTCTCTGTTCTTCTCTTCTCTTCTCTCTGTTCTTCTCTTCTCTTCTCTTCTCTCTTGTGGATATTCTTGGGTCCTTCCCATCACTTCCTTCATTCCCCACAGTCCCCCCATGGTTCTCCAATCCCTTCTCTTGACAACTGAAAGCTAAGTTTTGAGATCACACACTGCCTCAGAGGCAAAGCTTAACTTCAGCCCCCAATAAGCACCACAGCTTTCAGATGCATGTGCTAAAGATGCCCCTAAAGGAAGAGAGAGGTTTGTTTGCACTGTAATGTAAAGTCTGAGCCAGCTTGACCAATTTTAACCTCCCAATCCCACTGATAAAAGTAGCAAATTATGAATAAAGCCTAAAAACTAAGGTTTAGAGGAGGCAAACTTTTTTTTTTTTCTCTAAGAATTCCTGTAAAAATTATTTTGGTACAAAGCTTTAAGTAAGAGGTGACTGTTACATAGCCTTTAGTGGCAAGAAGCTGAAAAGTAGACTTGGAACCTCAGACAAGCTAGAAGAGATTTTATGCATGTTTTTTCAAAATTTTTGACATCTCCCCACTTCAGTGGGGTTCACTGTCTACAGGAACATTTGTACATCACCCACAAGTACTACAGGCTTAGGGATTAATTTAGTCCCCCCACCCCCAATGTTTCAGCCCTCCCTCTTCCCATTTATGAGCTTATTTGTTACCTACGAAAATAAGCAGTGTAGCCAGACTTACCTAATGTCCATGCAAAGTAATACTTTGGTTTTGCTGCCTGTGTTACAACATACAGGTAACCAAGTCTTGACAAGAAGGGTGTTTTATCAAGAAATTCATTATCAATAATATATGCCATAGGAAAGTTCTTGGTAAGTGTCAAGAATAAAATGAGAGATACTAGTGTGATACACAGTTTGTACATCACTGCTCCCTAAAAAGAACAAACAACAATGAAACATTCATTAGAAATGTTTGCTTAAGATGAAATAAAAAATCCCAGAGTACTCATGACATAAAAAAGCACTTCAAGAATCGATAAGGTTAGCAGTGACAAAGTTGATAATAATGAATTTAGAAGAGGTAACAAAGAAAAGGCCACAGTCAAAGATTTGGTGTCATTTGTTTTACTGAATTATCTATTACCTATAGGTACAAAGGGCAATTAGAAGTCAAAACTGGTGATGAACTTCACAAGAGACTCCTACCTCATTTTAATGAGGAAGGCAACAACAAAAACCAAAACCCCACAATATAAAGGAGAAATCTTCCCTATATGGACTGTCATCTCCTGGAACTAAGGACTGGATTCCTTCTGGAAGCCAAAACCATTGGTATTCAGTACAATAGTAGGTCTTATTGCCCAGCTGCCATCTGGAGGTTTTCCTAAAAATCACTTGACCAAAAAGCAATCTTATACAGGATGCATACCTTCCCCTGATATAGGGTATCTGTTACACCACTCTGTTTTCTATTACTGCTCTCTAGCTTGCTATACTCTGATATTATTGACAATCATGCCAGTAGTTAGAAGCTCAAGTTCAAATATGCATCAGGAGTAAACTCTCCTTGAAACTATATCCTGGTTTCCTTCCTAGTAACCAGTACAGTGCTGTGTTTTGGATTTAGAGCAAGAATAGTGGTGATAACACACTGATGTTTTTAGTTGTTGCTAAGCAGTGTTTACACTAAGTCAAGGATTTTTCAGCTTCTCATGCCCTGCCAGCAAGAAGGCTGGAGGGGCACAAGAAGCTGGGAAGGGACACAGCCAGGACAGCTGCTTCTAACTGACCAAAGGGATATTCCATACCATGTGATGTCATGCCCAGCATATAAACTGGGGGGAGTTAGCTGGAAAGGCAGATTGCTGCTCAGGGACTGGCTGAGCATCAGTCAGCAAGTGGTGAGCATCATGCATCACTTGTATTTTTGGGTTTTATTTCACTTTCTTTTGTTTGCTTTCTTTTTTCATTACAGTTATAATTATGATTATATTTTAATTTTATTTACATTATTGAAACTGTTCTTATCTCAACCCATGAGTTTTACTTGTTTTCAATTCTCCTCACTACCCCACCAGGAGGGAGGACTGAGTGTCTGCATGGTGCTTAGCTGCTGGCTGGGGTTAAACCACAACATGCACTCATAATCAAAAAGGTAAATCTGACACTTGGGTACCTTGTGAAAATCAACTTCTGTTCTCAAAAGACTAATAAAAGTGCAATATACTATTGAAACAGCAACACATTTTTTGATCCCGAGTACTCTTTTTATATCTTCTTCATATTCAGGAATAAATCAATGTGCAATTATGTTTAAATGGTTACAATGGAAATATTAATATTCTCTGCTGACTTGCATCCAGCACAATGTGGGCCTCATTCTGACCTCAGTCAGAACTACTGTAAGTCAAAGTAACATTGCCACTGAAGTCAGTACAAATACACCTTTGTACAAGAGGAATCAGGTATCTACAGGCACATACTCAATTTCGTGCTACATTATTCTGCCTTAAAAGAAGGTAATTTTATAAGATCTTACATAAAATTAAAAAATATAAAGTAATATTAGTGTTAATTGTACGTGGAAAATGACCTTCAAGTCATCTTGAATCGTGAGATTCTTTTGCAAAGCAAAACTAAAACTCAAACTGCAGTTTCTAATTAGTCATGATTCGTGTACTTCTAACATCTCCTGCACTATGGGTGACATTTGACTGTTTTTAAATTTTGATATTTCCTCTTCTGTTTGCAGCTGAATTGCAGCTTGTCATTGTCAGAACCTGCAGACAGGACACGCAGTAAATACCCAGTGACCCACTTTGCAAGCCAAATGCATTTGGGGAATTCAAGAGGAAGACACCAGCCCCCTCACCCCTGCCCCTGTGACAAAAACAGCAGCCACTTCACCAAAAACATACACTGTAGCATTTACTGGGAAGACAATCCAAAAATGGGTTTTCTTCTTCATTTTTAATTATGAGAATCATGTACAAAGCTGTAAAGTTCTGCCCTTTGCAGTAAACCTTTGTCATTTAAAAACTTACAGTTGGAGAAGGATCAGGAAGTCTGTCATAACCCTTCTGCTTCCAGTTCACTTCTAACAGTTTCAGGTGCACATGCCTCCCTTCAATGAAGGCTATATAGTCCTTGTAATTGCTGCAAGGCCCAGCTATGATGCTCATAAAATTGAGGAGATAGCTTAAATACTCCAGTAAAGAAGGTCTTGTCCTATAGAAAACAGCCACACGTGACAGAACAGGAAAAAACAAAACAAAACACAAAAAAAACCCCACAAGGTAAAACATGGGAAAGACTTTCACAAATGCTTTTTGTGGCACTGTCTGCCTCAGCCCCCACCCCTCCTGTGACTCTCCCCCAAGCTGAAAGCTCACTAAGTCTTTTTTGGAGATGAGGCACAGCTTCTCTTATATCCCAGTGATGTCTGGCAGATGGCAGTCAGAGCAAGGGTAACGTGGAAGCGCTTCCACGTTCTGCTTGAAAAGTTCTAATCCTATCACCAGGAACATTTTAGTAAAAAACAGTCACAAATTTAAACACTCACTCTCAAACAAATATACTTGTGCATTTTGAGCAGGCCAGCAGTGCCAGGAGAGAGAAGCTGGTAACTGGTTGTGGACATCTGGGCAGTACATCAGGGACCAGTAACAGCTGGCAGACCACAAGCTGGGCAGCAGTGGTCTCACCAACCTGGGTAATGCTGTACCTTGCCTTGGCATGCAAACCACAGGGCAGGGAGCATGTCAGACCAGGGCACTCAGGCCTGAGAGGAGCTCTCACCCACCCTTCAGTTCAGCCTTTTGAAAAATGGGAAGTGTGATGTGAGACGCAGAGGAAGAGAATGAATAGGCACTCTGTCCTGCTGTGCAAATAAAGGAAGCAATTGCCTGTATTGCATCACGAATAGGAAAAAGAACTAAGGGGAAAAAAACATCTATCAAAAGATAGCTGAGGATGAAAGTCAAAGATGAGTCCATTGTGTTAGTTATTTCCATTTTGTATATCCCGCAAGTTCCTTGGGCTGGGTTTATATTAGATGTCAAATGAGTAAGACCCGCTGTCCTTACCACAGACCAGCAGGATGGAAAAGAAAGATGCCCAGGCCTCTCCCTGCTAGTGTAATTTGTAAACTGTTGGGATTGCTTTATTTATGCAGCAGAAACCACCAACATCTAAATTCTGCCCTGAAACACACAGTGCTCTCCACAAATGTGCTAACAGTCACCATCCAAGTAAAGGAGGAGTGCCCAGATGAGGACAGAAACTAGGACACAGTGTTTCAGGACTTTTCCTGTTCAGGACAGATGGACACGCATAAATCAAAACCCTCTTAAAAGTCTTTCCAACCACGACATAAATTTCTAGACCAAGACATAAATTTCTAACAGAAAAACTAAGCAACAGTTAAATATTTGCTGTTGCCTACTTTTATTCTGAAGCAGAATTAGTTTGAATAAACAGTTAGCTTAGCCAGGATTTTCTGCATTCACCCTGCTGGTTATTGTACATCTTCGTGCCTGAATGATGTGCTCTCTGGTGACAGCGTTTCACAGAAAGATGCAGCAAACAATTTGGGGTAAGGCTCATCTTTCTGTTCTGCAAAACTGAGCCCATTATTTGGGCTTCTGAACTCTACAGTACAATTAAACATAAAGTCATTAGTTTCAGCTTAGGTTCTGCACGTGGGTGGGTGGGGAGACATGAGCAATGCACGAAGGAATGTACAGAGGATGAGTGAGAAACAAAAACAGACCAAGAACAGGGGCGAAGACAAAAGGCTGTATTACCAAAAGGGATTTAAAACTCTTCAGTTATGACTTGTCTGCCACCGACACTTGAGCTATTGGCATGTACATTTCTATTATGAGCTCATCTCATAATACAAGCAAAAAAAAAAAAAAGTCTGTTTGGTGAGAATTTGACTAGAATTAATCATATGGTCACAAGGGCCCAGTGCAGTTAAACATTATGCCGTGAGATTTAAAAATAGAAATAAAGCTGTGTCACAGCAAAAGTTATACAAGTCTCCCTACAGGATTTTTTGCTTTTCAAGAAGTTACTCCCTTCTTACTTTCAGAAGCTCATGGGCAGATTTTCTGATGGCTGAATCTTTACTGTTGGAAATGAAGGAAATAATTTCCTTGGTCCTTAAAAAAACACTTCATGATGAAATGTAGTTATAGTTCTAAGACTAATTCTGTAACACTAATTTTTCTAAATAGAAAAAAAAAGGTGCTCGAACACATCATTAACATGTTATCTCCCTCTGAAAAATGAGATGAGTCACATAACCTGAAGGACTAGAAGTATTAACATTACGGGGGGAGAAAGGAAAAAAAAAAATTTCAGTGCCCAAAAATTATGGCAAAGAAAAGCAGTACTTGAATTGTCAGAGTCAAACCAACAAGGATTTTTACTATGCAATCGTTTGCTGCCAGAGAAGGAACATTCTACTTGGAAAAATAACATATCACAGGCAGGATGAAGACAACAGCCAAGAATTCCAAATAGTATAATCTCAGCCTAAATATAAAAGAGTAGATTCAGTGAAGACTAGTTTTGTTGCATGGGGGTTATATATTTAAGACAATGAGATGTACCCAAATACTTCAGTGCTTTTCTGACCAGCACAGGGTGAAAAAGGCTAAAGTCGTGTACTGATGAAGTAAAGAATAGAGCAGAGAAGCTATGTTTGTGTAAGGAGGGCCCTGACACAAACAATACAAAACCAAAAGTACTCCAGCAAAGAGAAAAATCAGGTAGGACTTTTGGCTTATCATGGACTGGGAAGAAGCAGGGAACATTTGCATGGTCAGGCCACTAAGTTGGTCCTGACATTGCAAATGACAAAACAAACCCAATGCCAAATCCAAGCCTTGAAGTTCTGCAGATGAAATTCTTAAAAATAGATTCTTACTTTACAGCAAGCCGATTTTGCTCAGCAGTGAGTTCCTCAGCTTGTCGCCCTATTCCTAGAAAGAAAGAAAAGCCCCATGAGATCTTTCTGAAAGCCAAACAGTGAAAGTTATCCTCAAAGCCTTACGTTTGTATCCCACAGATAACTTCCCATAAGCTTCAAGATTTCTTTGTCACAGGCAGTTGTAATACAGCTCAATTCCTAACTTTTAGGTCAAATATAAAAATTCATATCCTACCCTACCTCTTTACTCAGTCCCTTGCTTCACTCCCCTCTTCTCACCCTTGCTATGCTTTCAGGAAGAGCAGCCATAGTATTTCCCCCCCCCCCAACACAACTCTCAATGCCACCCACGGGCAGTGACCCCCAGCAGCCTCTACTAACAGTCCTGGGCTGGAACAAACTCTGTTCCCAGAAGCCACTGGCCCATTCAAGCACAAGCCTCCTGCTGGCTCCTTGGTGAGAAATGGAGCATTTCACAGCAGGAGGAGTGGGCAGTGGAAGAGAAACGGGCTCTCAGGGAACAGAAGCTCTGCTGGTGTGAACGAGCAGCCTGGCTGCCTGCTGCTGAAGAAAGTCTAAACACACACATCAACAATAATCTGGAATTGTGCAAGGTCCATACTGGAAGGGTGACCTCCTGTTGAGTGAACAAGACCTTTGGGGCCAGAGGTAGAGCACAGACTCACTGTCCCAGGAAAACTATGGAAAACTCTTGCATGATGCCCAGTGCATAAACACATGTTGCTCATAGCAGACGTGTTAAAACCTTCTCTCTGAAGCTTTAGCTGCACATACAGTGAGGAGAATCCCACTGGCTTCAACAGAACAACTCACCATGGGATGAGTCACAGCACTTGATGCTGAGTATGCATAGATAGCATCACAAGATCAGGGGCTTGGCATCAATTAGCACTACTGTGCTAAACATACTGGCCATAATTACCAACTCACACACACAAGACCCACTTCCTAAAAAGACTGCTGATAAGCTGCTCATTTCCATTCTCTCTCAGCTATTTCATTTTGTAAATACTGGGAAGGCGTGAGTTCCAGGGAAACAATTATGCACTTAACCACTTAAAGGGTTGGGCATTTTGTTTGTCTGTTTCCATTTCTGGGAAGCCAAGTTAAATTTTTACAAATAGAAATTTGTCACTGGTGCTTGAAATGCAAACTGCCTCCATTGGATCAACTGCTCCATACATGGATGTTCACAAAGTAATGTCTTTCCTACAGAAAGCTGTAGGATTTCTGGTTGCTTAAAATGCTCCTGCCTCTGCTGCTATCTTTTCCTTTCTGTCTGTTCAGTATTCTAGGTGTGCATAAGGCTGCACATCACTGTGGTAGGCAGTGATACATGAGCTGGCCAGCTGAAGTAACAGAAACAGAGAAGCCCCAGTGACACGTGTGTCAACGATAAGGTCAGTTAGCCAAGCTTCAAGCTGCACCCCTTACAGCCAGCTAAAAGCATTAGATCCACTTGTGTAAGCCTGGCTTGCAAACAGCCCCTGCAGTCTGTGGTGTGGCCATCACCTCGATCATAACTCTATAGCAGGCTACTTAGTCTCCCACAGCTTCTAATGCATTGGGCCTCAGACTCAGAAATTCACACTGCAACATCAGTAGACAGGAGCAATAGCAGCACTGATGACAACTGAGATTTCTAGCCTTTGCACTGTGCTAGACACAGGCCTTTTACCAGGAAATAATAGTGCTCTTTGTCACAGTGCAGCACAAGACTGAAGACAATGTTATTTTGCTTACAACTGTGCTTCTCCCTGCACTGGAAAAAGGCTACTGAATTCCATCTCCCACAGCTCATGGAGTATATTATGACTGAATATATCAGTGAGAGCATATTTTTTTACAATAACATTAAAGGCTGAATCTATATATCAAACTCTTGATTTCTGACAATCAAGAACAGCTTCAGAGAGCTTAACGGAGATGCACTGCAGCATCTAATCAGTAGATACCAGTACTAGCTAAAATCCAAACTGGGCCCCGAGGAAGCAGAGACCACCCAAAGGGGAGAACAGTTGTCTTTGTTACTACAAAGATAATTCAATCCTGGAGAACTCATCGAAAATGGAAGTTTCGTCCTTTCCTCCACAAAGCATTTTTCTCCCTCGTTTGGAGCAACTGAGTCAACTACACTCATCCTCTCTGCAAGCCCGCCACAGAAGGCAGTGGCCTGAAGGCTGTCTCCAGGACATGGGAGGGGGTTCCACCTCTCACCGTCATGTAACTGGCACGCCAGTGTGGTGATCTTCTGTGTAATGATCATCAGCGGACTGCAACAAAGACAGAAACAACAGTTACATGCCTCAGAATGAAAAGTATTCCCAACTTGCTCTATCCCTTTAAAAGGCACCAAGTGTCTCTATCAGCAGCGAGTGGAAAACATCCAATTAAAACTGAAGGAGGAACTCGGGCACAGACAATTGCCCGGGTTCAAAACAAGCCCGCAGTAACTTGCACTGGAATTTTTAATTGCTAAGTGCACACAATGCCTTATTTCATGCCTCCCCATCCTGCAGCAGTGTGAGTTCTAATTCAGAAGAAAACACACCAGTAGGAAATACCAATGTCTGCAGTCCACTGGCCTTCCTTTGAGGCTAAGACCAAACTCAAGCCCCATATGATGCAATGCCACAATACAGCAATGCTGATGCAACATAACTCTGGCTCTTCTTACTGTTACTCTCCTGTTGTTTGTCTCCTCAGTCCCCTGAAATTCTCAAATCTGCAGGTACACATGCCTATTTCCCCACATAAATAGCCCTATCAGTTAGGACTGTATGCAAATATCAGAATAGCTGTCAGCACAATAGCTTCCCACTTGCTTCTTGGCCATGCAACTGCCTTGTGGACAGCCTGTCCAAGATGCAACATCCAGCTGGGAGTCTGGGCATGTGGGCTCTGGAGCCTCCAAAAAACATGAGCTAGCTGTACCTGAGCCATGCTTACAGGCTACAACCAACCACCCAGCAGCTTTGGGGCTGACCAAACAAGCAGCATAGGAATAGCCACCACGTTCAACAGGGCTGCTTTCACCTCCCATATCCAGCTTTACTGAGCTTCTTAGGCAAAATTCAGCTTGGTAGCATCAGGAGCTGATCTCCATGAGGGCAAAGGACGCAGCCAGGAGCATTCAGAGGTACACAAAGAAGAGAGATGGGTGGAAAACCACAGGGATGACTAACCACTCCCTCACAGGCAGAGGCTCCAGGGCTAACAGTCATCCACACACAGCTTCTAAGGGCTGTGGAGCCCTAAACACAAACCACAGTGCTGAACATCTGAAATCTGGATGGACCCATGGCAGGCAAAGTGAGGGATGAGCATCTGCCCATCTCTCTGCCACAGGTGACACCAGCACAGGGTGCCCAGATCTCATGCTATCTAGGAGACCTTCAAATCTGCAATAGCCAGGGGGTTGCAATGGTTGATGAGGATACATCATTATTTTAAAAGAATTAATTGTGATGACTGTATGTAAAACCAATTCCACATAAAAGATTTGTCTCTGCTGAGGATTAAGACAATGGATTGTTTCTTGATTTGGTGATAAATTATCAACATAAGCCATACAGAAGTTTCTGCTTGAATACAAATGATGTCTTCAACATGGAAGTTAAAACCTGAGGTTTTGGACATGCTATTTACAGAGTTTGACAGGTATATGGAACTTTTTAAAGAGATGAAGAGGATTACTCCAAATATGGCTATTCATTTTAAATATTGTCTTTTTTCTTTCTGGAATTCAATGAAAGAAAAAAAGCTGAAGGCTTTTTTTTTTTTTTTAGTTCAACCACTGTATTTTTCCCACCAAGTTCCCAAGGTAAGAAAACAAAAGCAAAAGTTACATTCAAAAGTATCTGTCTAAAATAACAGTTGAATATTCATGTTCTGCAGAGATTTTCAAGAGATCATCCTCAACTACATTGACCTACTGGTTACAATCAAATATAAACCCAATGGCTAATATAAACTGTCTTCAATCTGATTATCCCACTATGATAAATCAAACTGATTTTCAAGATAATTAATCTGCTGAGCATGGGAAACACAAAAATACTGGAAAAAGACATCCTTTCCTTGTAAGTGGTCTTTTTGATTTTTTTAATACTAAATATAGCTGATCTTTTTAAAGAGTCCACATCTAATTCTATGTAGGCAATTTGCATTTTCTACCCCAAACCAGAGAGCACGCAATATCAGGCAATTTCTTAATCTGAACACATTTTCTATCATTTCATCAGTCTCTACTTGAAATGTCAGTTAAAAAGCTTGCACACGAAATCCAGAGCAAACTTAAATATACACAAATCTGGAATACAAGCATAACACAAAGCTTTGTATGGCAGCTCTCCTAGGGTCTCCTTGGGTCACCTAAACCATTGATTGCAGCTAAGGAATGGGTGAATTCAACAAGAACTTTTCACCTTCCAGTCAAATACAATATTGTGAAAGAATGATATTTACTTATTCCAATTCATCTTTCAAGGAAAGTTATTTATAAGCTGTTTTCATCATTATCCTCAACATCCCATTTCTCAAAGTAGATTTTCCCATTCAGACAAAATTTAACTTTGCTTTCAAAGACACATAAATCCCAATCCTTTAAGCATATGAAAAAGATATTTTATTTTTTATCCTGAAGAGAGACAGAGGCTGTCAGTTCACCAGCTGTTCTACTGCAATCAACAGAGATTTTTGTTAGCGCTTGACCTTCTAGCTATATGGGTGAACACTATCACTTGTTTCAACTTTGTTCAATTTGTTGCACATGTTTTTTTACAGCAAGCACTTCATGCCAATATTGAAACAGGTAACTTTAAACCTCAGGCTCAGAGCCAAAACTCTATGTCTCTAAGTGCCTAAATTTAGACACTTGTCTTAGAAAATTGAGCCTCCTGCTGTAAGCCAGAGAGAACCAAAATGCAAACAATCCTGGTGTGCTGATTAACCAAGGGAAGCAGAAGAGCTGCCTGCACTAAAGTCATACAACTTATAAACACAGAGAAGAGAGAGGTTCTCCTCATCTATATTAGGAGTTCATCACCTCATTGACGGCTGTAACCCAGCAGAACAGGCCAGCCTCTTGTGCATTTTAATCAGAAAAGACAGCCAATCTTCCTCAAATCCCAGCTCCAGAGACAAGGGAGCACAAAGGTGATGGTGCTCACGCTGTGGGTGGGAGGGAGACCCACAAAATTTATCAGAGATATGTTCATTTCTCTCTCCTCCCACCATCGTATCACAAACATACACATCTCTCCTATATCCTAATTGGGAAGGTAGAAACCTGCTCTACAGTGGCAATGGGATGACACCCTCTAAATCTTTCACAAGATCAGTATCAGATACCATTAAATGCTTCACAGAAAGGGTAAGCAAGGTTTCAGGTGAACAGGGAACATTTTCTACCTCCCTCACCTGTCTGCAGTTCCCCCACTGAAATGATCTCACTGGGGTACCAAACCTTTGCTGCAGGAAAGGGCAGAGCACGACAAAACACAGCAGTACTGGAGCTCTCTCTTCTTCTGGTACCGCTTTGGGGTGTGGAGGACCCCACCTTCTGCACACCCACAGCTGTCCTACTCCTCCCTGGGGAATCACCAGTCTCACCCCATCACACACACAGAGGCTGCAAAGCTAAGACTGCTTTTGCTTCTTCAGAATGAAAAATAATCTTTCCCCCCATATTTGCAGAGCGACGCATGAGGATGAAAGTCTTGAAGCAATATTAAAAATTAGATGAGAAAAACACATTTAATTTAGGGGGGGGGAAATAGTATCATCACTTCCTAAATACACTGGTACTTGGCAATATCAGAGTATTGAATTGTCATTTCAATTCAGCCTTTTGGGCAAGCTCAAATTTTAAGCAGCAATAAAACCCTGAGTTAATACATAAGATACAGCTTATCACATCACATATAGTCAACTGTTTCCAACATGATAACATTTTAAACCTTAGATTCTACTGGAAAAAGTCAGTAGTGCTGCAAACAGGAAGGTGAGTTAACAAAACTGTAAAACTTCTAATAAGATTTTTTTTCTGCCATATTTTGAGAGATGCGAAGGTTATTGGACTGGGGCAAATGATGTGGTTGAATTTAAAAACAAAAGTCTACTGCTGCTATACTTGCGTATATGGATAAAATATGGAGCTCTACCCCTATAGGAAGAAAGCATATGAAATAAAACACATTTAAGAAGCCTAAATGACTTGAACTCCATCCTATTTGAACACCTTCCAGTTGCTTTGCAGCCACATGCAGAGTGGTGATTCCGCATCCTCTCCTCTTCTCCCAAGCGCTAGTTACAAACTAGCCCAGAAACACAGAATTTGATTTACATGTGTTGTGACTTTCCCCTTCCCCCTATGTTTTATATGTCAGCTGAGAGTTTAATCTCAGGTTGTACCTGCATTTTACCTCCTACACACAAACCACAGTGGCCAACCTTCAGTTTAAAAAAATAAAATCAAGACGTTTTCCCAGGGAGTAAGTACTGAATAGGAAATTTCAACAAATTAAAAAACCACACCTAAGCTCTCTTGACCTTGCACTAGATGCCTTGAAAAACAACACAAGGCAAACACAAAGAAGTGTACAGAGAGTGCTCAGTAGAGGGTTTTACCCCCCTAATCAAACCTCCAAAAAACATGCCAGTTAATGTAATTTTTAAACATGGCTTGGTGCAGTGTAATAAATTTGCTCAGAAGCACACGCCAGTGGAACTAAAGATGTCATCATTGGTTGTAGCCTGCTGCAGGGATCTTCCCCCATCACAGGCTGGCTTCTGCACCGAGAAAGCTTTGATGCTTATGAAAGAAAAGACGTTCACCAAGCAGAGTCTGCCTGACCTTAGGTAATCCCGTGAAGGAGTCTGGCACACGCTCGCCAGAAATAGTTTCCACTGACCTGATTTCACTAAGGGAGGAGGTGGAGTCAAAAGGCTCATTGCCGACAAGACTTCAAACCAGCAAACATTTATTTCACGTTTATGTCATGACAAGAAGTTCACAGAGTCACACTCTGATGTTAATTGTGCTGCCGAGGAGGCTGCCAAGCCAGAGCCTCCACAACGGCTTCACTGGCAGCGGGCTCCTACTTCTGCTTTCAGCAGCAAAATGAAGAAGTGCTGAAGTGCACAGAGGAAAAATACTTCACTGAACACACTCACGCCTCCAAAGCTACTTCCAATTTGCTTCATGTGGTTTTGCTGGTGAAAGCTCCTAAAGATCATTAGTTATGCCTTCATGACAAAAGCATTTCAGTGAAGGGTATTTTCTTCTGGAGAAGTGTCCTGGGACGCCCTGGATGTGCGGGGCTCTCTAGTAGGGACTGCCTGCTTGAATTCTGGCTAATCGGTGGGGGGTGCATGGGGGTCCAGGGGAGGGGCTGTGGTTGATCCTATGCCACTGAGAGGAGAAAAGCCAGCAATAAAACACTAACCACCTGACAAAAAATCACTGCCTGAAGTGACACTTGTTCATGAAGTATCTGCTTATACAGTTCTTCAAGGGGGCTCTTTCAAGGATCATCCCTTTCTAAGCAGTTTGCTGAGGATTGCTGCTGCTGTTCTGCATTTGGGATAGAGAGAACACATAAAGATGCCCATTCCTTCTGGAGGGTGATGTCCACCAAAACACTCAAGTAAACTGTACAGGCTTGACATCTGCAGGGAGAAAACTCCTTGAGTCCCCTGATAATTCTGTTCTGCTCTCTCTAAGACCAACAGAAGAGTGAAAGCAATGCCAGTGTGTGTGGTGACTTTCACCAGCTGAGTTTCTTTTCTGTATGGAATGGCACCAAGAAACTCCTATACACAACATATGCACTATCATTCCCTAACATTGACCAAATGACACGCAACACTAGGAACTTTTACTCAGATGCTGCAAGAATTCAAAGAGGAAACCAAAAAGCCCTGTGGTCTTAATCAAGTAAAAGATTAAAGCAGACATAACTTCATATGGATGAGGAGCTCCTCTGAATTCTGTCCAGATGATTATATGCTTATGGCATTTGCTCATGTAGCTTGCTAGATTAAAATCATATCTATTGTTGGTTTCCAAAAACCCCAATCAAGATCCCTTTATTTATTTTAAACTAATTTCTCCCTAAAGCCATAATAGTATTATACTCAGTCTGAGTCTGAGACAGAAAGAAAAATAAACAAATTGTATGTTAGTGTTACAATTTTTAAAAAGTTGTATAGAAACCAAGCAACTTACCAGCATAATCCTCTTAGCATAAAGAAGAAGAAATAAAAGAGGGAAAAAGAGAGAGAAAGAGTTAGGATTTAGTTTTCCTAGGTACAATGTATAAATGCTGTGGCAAGCCAAGCAAAATAAAATATGCATGTTTCTCTCAAATACTGATTTAAATTAGGGGGGAAGCACAGCATTCAGTTATTTCTTAATTAGTTTTCAAAAATGAATAGTTTTCTTTGAGACTGTAGTCAGAAGAGAATTCCTAAACTATGCCACCACATTTCTGTGAAATAATATAAATGAAAGAACTTTGATAAAATATATATACATTTTTTAAAAAGTAATTAAAATTAACGTGTGGCAAACGGGGATTAGTTTTCATCAAAAGCTGTCACATAGTTTAAAAAAAAAAAAGTAATTTCCACTTAAGTACTATGCAATACATGAAAAACAATTAAATCAAGAAATTGCTGCAAGCAGCTTGAGTACAGTTGTGACTGGAGTCAGTGACCAAACCTGCCCTTTGCAGGAGTTAGAAAAATTAACTAGTGACCAGTAGGGAACCAGTTTCCTTACTTCTTAACCTTGAAGTGATAAGTCACAGTTTAATCTTTTCTTTTCCAGTTTACTAAGACACAACCCAAAACTTGTCTTGTTCTTTCCATCCCTGCCTGCATTCTACAAGCTGCATTCTCAAGATGAGGGGACTCCAAACAAACGGCACAAGCAGCTATCACTCAAGAACCAAAATAATGTATTTGCAAGCAGCCATTAGAAGGGTTAAGCACTCAAGCTGTTAAGTGCACAAAGGAGGTTAAGAGAGCAAGTGAGATATGCCAGCTTTCAGCAGCAACGCTGGAAAACACTCATTTCACTGGGCTTGTATCTTTAGGGAACTGACATTGGAGAGCTGATGGCACTACAACTGTTTATGAGCCAATCTGATGGGGATTAAACTCCTCTTCGCAGTCAGATATCAAGAAAGACTTAAAGGATACTGAGACCTCAAATAAAAGTCAGCAGATGACAGGCTTTTTACTCACTCTTCAAGATTCCCTTCAATGCAGTGTTTTGCCTTCCCCGTGTATATGCCCAGGCACATTTGCCCAAAGGAGTGGGAGCGTGGAGGCAGATGGGCATCGTGCCATGGAGTCTGTCTTGGGGTTTTTTTTTCTGAAGCCCTGAGAGAGAATGTTAAGGACATCCTTCTGGCCAGGAGCCTGTTTGAATGCTTCCCAATGCAATAGATGTGGGATCATCAAACATGGGAGGTTGAGCTGCTGCTAATACACGCTAAAAGTGTGGTTAGAGAGTCTATTTTGTCTCCATAGGTCATCACATCTGTTTAGGTATGTGCACAAAGCCTCAGTGGGCACACACGAGGAAAACTGGATTTTTATGAGGCTGACCTGGGTTTCTGCCCTTTGGATTGCAAATTTTTATGAATACCAGCACAATACTTTTATTTAATCTTTGTTTTCAAAATATACCATGAAGATGTAGTTCATATCCATACTACGTTTTCCAGTTGTGTACTACTTCGCAGTTTTATGTTTGACTGAAGTTTAGGAATTGGTTTATATCTTAAAGCATCAGGATAAAAATCAAATGACAGAGTAAGTTCAGGTATTATTCTTTCAACACTATTATTATCCCTAAACTCATCATTAGATAAAAGTAGCTCCATTTTCATCAAGAAAGCAGAAACTGCTACCTGTCTTTCACAAACAACCACCACTCCTCTTCTTCCACCCCCAGTCTGAGCTGAATCTTTAGTAAAAGTCTTCAGAGAGGCAGCTATTGTGCCTCACAGAGCATTTCTGAAGCCACTATTCAGAAAAGCATGCTCTCTTGCATTTCTCAGTGCCTCATACACACACAGATCTATAGCATTCCAATCCCATTTATAGGCTCCATGGTATGTCATGCTCTTTTAGGACACACTTTTGTCTATTAAAAGAACTGCAGAAAAAATCATAGACCTAAACTTCTCTAAATGAGTTATCTTTTCTGCCCCCTCCTCTAATACAAAAACTCCAAAGTTTCAAAGGAACTTTTCCCCCACTCCCTGCAATTTAACTAAATGCTTAAACCTACCACCTCACTCAGAGACACACTGACAAAGACACCAAAAACATTTGGTTTCCTACTCTATGCCTAGAAGAAGACAGAGCCTTGGAAGAAGCATCTACAACTTAATGTGCCAGTTTACAGGAATTTTACTCTTTACTCTGTATTATATTAAACAAGTGGCATACAGATTAGCAGATTTTTTTTAAACCATGCAAAATCATATGTTCCTGTTATAAACAAAATATATAGGGTTAGATGTCTGTATTTTTGCAAAGCCTCTTCTACCTCTTCAGCAAATTCAGAGACTACAGTATAGAGAAGAAACACTGTTCCATGGAAATGCACAGCATGTAAAAAGTTTTGCTGTTTAAACAGTGGCCACAGCCTGCCCCTGTGGGACAACCTGTAAGACCAGCACTGGCAGCAGAAGCTGATATTGTATCTCTCTGCCCACGTTACCCAGCCACCAGCCTCCCAGTTCTCCCAGCCACTCACCCCCTGTCTATGCTGTAACCCCCAGGGTTATACACACTCCCCCAGCTCCATCGATGGGCTGTGCAGACTTATCCCCCTGGGCTGCTCTAGGTGGAAGTCTAGCTAACCAAGCTCTACTTTCCCAACTAAGATAGCACCTAGGAAGAAAACAGCAGAAACATGAGTCAATGCAAAAATCACACAATGTTTATTCCTTCCCTAAAAAAAGAAAAAGTCTTAGAAAAAGCTTAATGGAAACAAAATTGCAGGTGGTTAACAGAAAACATAAAAATTATTCTTGAAAGGTACTGAATTCAACTCAAATTAATTGACACAGGACCCAGCTTGCAGACTCACTCACCCGGAAAAATCTGTAGTGAGGATACCATAATGAAATATGTATATTCGGCTTATGTGGCACAACGTGAGGTATCCCATAGCTACAACAAAGGAGTACCTAAAAACACAACATACAGAACACACAGTTACCAACACAAGCACCAGCAAGAACTAGAATCACTCAAGTTTGGTTTGGGCTTGTTTAGGAGGGGAGTTTGATATTTGCAAATTGTGTTGTTAACAAGTCTGAAGCTCTGCTACAAGATCTGGCAGAAATTTTCAAAGAGGACTGACAGTTTTGTGTACCCAGCTGAAATATTACAGAGGTGTCTCCTCACACTGGGGGTGGGAAAAAAGAAAAGAAGTAGGATCTCTTCAAGTCGTGCTTTCAATTTCAGAGATCCCACACTCACATATTATTTTGAAATGCCTGACTCAAGAATTTAAAACCAGATGATAATGTATGTGTGTTGCTGAAGTTCCCCACGGCCTGTTTTATCTGGAAATGTCATTTACTTGTACAACTCTTCCTCAGACCTACCAGAAACTAAAATATTTCAAGTTTAAGCTATATTCCCTCTTCTGGCAGATAATGCCACACGGCCTAACCTTTTCAGCTCTACAGTGCTAAAAGACAACTCTTTTCAGAAGAAGCCTTCCTTAAGTGGAGCCTGATGCATAGAATCATTAAGGTTGGAAAAGACCTCTAAGATCATCAAGTCCAAACATCACCCAACACAACCATGACCGCTAACCCATGCCTGAAGTGCCACATCCACATGTTTTTTGAAACCCTCCAGGGATGGTGACTCCACCACCTCCCTGGGCAGCCTGGGCCAATGTCTCACCATTCTTCCAGTAAAGAAATTCTTCCTAACACCCAATCTAAACCTCCCCTATCACTACTTGAGCCAAATTCCTCTTGTCCTATCGCTGGTTACCTGGAAGAAGAGACCAACCCCCACCTCTCTACAAGCTCCTTTCAGATAGCTGTTGAGAGCAATGAGGTCTCCCCTCAGGCTCCTCTTCTCCAGGCTAAGCAATCGCAGTTCCCTCAGCTGCTCCTCCTAAGCCATGCTCCCCAGACTCTTCACCAGCTTCATTGCTCTTCTCTGGACATTCACTCTCTCTTTTTCAAGATGATCACAAAATGACTAGGCAGGACAGCAGCATGACTCTTTCCATCTTAAGAACTGACTCCTCTGAGGACTGGAGGCACTGCAGTATCTAGGTGGGGCAGATGCAGCCTTTTCTACAATTAACTTTTCCCTGTGTTTACCTGAGAAAGGAAGAGGATAGAAGGGAGGGAAGAAGCAGATGGGTATCTGGAGACAAGACTGACAAACGAGGCAAATTAGACAGAGTGCAATAGAGAGCTGAGGCACCAGAATGAAAGGCTTGCATCACATGGACAGGCCAGGACCAGGTTTATTGGTGTCCCCTGCATCAGAAGATGATCACATGAAGAAAAGGATGCAAAGACCTACAGAGGAATTACACTGCACATCCTGCACAACTTGCACACCCAGCAGAGCTGAGCCACAGGAGCTCTGGCAGGCTGGCAGCACCCGCTGCCAAGCAAGATCCCCCCCAGATCCCCACGGTGGGGATCTAAAGGTGAAATCAAACAAGACAATCAAATCAGACGACTGAAAATGAGCCAGGCCTTTCTAAAATCGTGGCTGGCTTTGAAAGAAATGAGTTTTTCCTCCCCAAGGACTAATAAACTGCAGTGTGAATGACAGTGATGGATGGCAAGGCAACCTGCAGGTCATGTGGCCCACAGCAAACAGCTAGATGAAAGGCAGACTGAGGGGACACGACAGCTTCTTCAGGAGATTCAGAGCAGAATTTATCTTATTTTATCTGGCTCAGGCATCCACTCCAGCCTCAGCAAGGTCCTTGGGTTCCCTCTCATTGACAGAGAACAGTAAGCATCCCTCCAAAGGCATGGCACCCAGCTCAGACATCTAACGGTGACAGCTGGGATGAAGCATCTAAAATAAGCCTCAGTATTTTGTGTAAAGCACCTCGACTGAAATGGGGGCAAGCAGGGAGAGATCCACCGAACTGCTGCTGCAGCTGGGGGCATTTCTGATGCTGGATTAGTTTGTCCATCCATACGTCTTGAAGGCTGACAGCCTCACCAGACAGCAAACTAGCAGAAAATAAGAAGGGAAAGGAGGATGCAGGTTAAAATATGAAGTTTCTTTATGTCATTTTTTCACTTCCACACGCGTTTTTGGGGAAAAAAGCCAAGTCTTGGAGCCCCACTATGAAGGGTTCAATGCTCTTGCAGGTCCTCTGAATGAACAGGTCCAGCCCTTATTTTTTTCAAGCTTATTCTCAAGCAGCTTGAATACACTGTTATTTTGCCAAAATGAATAAGGTGGATGTATTTCCAGTCACACTGCTATGGCCAGTGGGACACAGTGGAAAAGTCCTAACCCAATCCCCCCAGCTGACAGGTTTTTCAGCACACAGGATTGCTATTTCACATTGACTTAAACATGACTATTTTGCAGCCATGGCTGACATGATGTGAACTAATTTAATTCGTGTTACAGTATACAGCAGGTTTTCCTGCTGTGACTAGTTGGCTAAACAGTAAGAGTGAGGGGTTTCTTGTCTGAACTCTGCCTAATCACTACCACTCCCTCCATTTGCCTGGGAACACAGAAGTATTGGATGATTCCCTCTGTGGACTTGGTTCCTCTGATCTACAGTCAGTAACTCCTGCATTTCCTTCAAGTGATGGGCAGGGACAATGACCAGGGGACAAGTAAGACACATTTTTAGCACCTTTTCCTTCTTGTCTCTGAATCGTATTTCTATCATAAACATTGTCTGATTCTATTTTTTTTTTAATTATTAAATACCTCTGGACTTCCATGCTTTGCATTCTGTGAAGGGATGGAAAAACCTTCCTTGATTAGTATCTGTCTTGCTGGTGCAAAACACAGAGAGTCTAAGGTGTCTTTCTTCCTTTCAAATGGTTGTACAGGGAAAATAAATATCCCATGGTGCAGAACTTCTCATGATGATGCCATAAACTTCTGCTTCAAATCAACGCCATTCCTGGTACATTCTATTTTTATAAGCTCAAAGCCCAGTACCAAAGTCAAGATTTAATTTTGCAGATCACTAAGTTAGGCTGCCACAGTAACCTTATTTGAACTAACTCAAGAATAAGTGGAAATTGCCTAAAGGCCAAACAGTAAGGGGGAAAACACATTAAAAAGTATTATCAAAAGCAGTCCTCAAGGACACAAGACTAAGGAGAATATGACTTCATTATGTTTAAGAAACCAGAGGTTGGGCATAAATTATTAAGCCTGCAAAAGCCAACTTCTGAGGCCAGCAATTTCATGGAGAAATGCAATATATCAATGCAAAAGCCACAAACTGAGATTACAGCTGCTTCTGTAACTAAATGAGCAAAGCTCCTGCAGGTAATTGGGAAAGAAAAACATGAAAGAAAAGGTGGTCCTAAAAACCCCTCATGCTTCTCCATGAAAGGAGAGAAGCTGTCAGAAGGGCAGCTCCAGACCTGCAGTCACATCAGCTCACCTGTGGATGTTGGGAATACTTGCCATAGTCATAATGCCATAGTTCATCATCACCAGGACAAAAAGATGAATGGAATACCTTGAAGACAACAAAGTGAATATTTAGATCATTTCTGGGTGACCTGGAAGGGCTGGCAGTTCTGAGTGAGGGAATACTTCTCCATGCAAATGACATAAATGTGATGTCATATCAGGGGATCAATAAACACAGATTATCACAATGACATCTTTATAGCTTGAATATCCAATGTAAATTAATACTTATGGGCATTATTGTTAATCTCTCTCATGGAGAGAATGAGCAATCTGGCTTGAAGTGCACATTCAAAATGGATATGTCTTCCAAAAGAGGTATCTTCACAGCAGACTGGTGTGGCTTTGACTTCCAGAACAAACATCACAGATTAAATATTTCACCAACAAATACTTTCATGGCTCATTTTACTTTCAGGGTTTGGGATAGTTATGCTGGTTAGGAGTATGTTTTGTTTGGTTTTTGGTATTTTTTTTTTAGGATAACACAGAAAGTGCCTTAAGACTAAAAAGATGTAACCCAGAAAAGCTGATAGGAAGTTTAAAAATATTTTTACTCATAGTCTGTCTACAGGGTGACTATAAATACTCACCACCCAAAGCAGAAGACAGCAAAGTATATTCCAAAGAGGGTGGCAAACGCATGGCGAACAGCAGAGCTGGCATGGCTGGGACCCAAGTAAATACGAAACCAAAATGCAGCCAAAAGAGCGAACAGTTGGCAGGCTACAAAATTGATCTGTAAAAGACAAACAAGACAAAAAATGGTTGTGATTCTTGGAGAAGGGGGAGGAAGGATTCTCTCCATTCTCTGAATAATAAAGAGCGGAGCCAAGAAAAGAGGGGGAAAGAGTTGAGCGCAACGAATCTTTTGGGTTCTAGCATTCTAACTTGTGAGCAGGAGCAGTATCTTCCCTTGGCCAATGACAGAAGGGATTAAACAATCATGTAGCCACCCAAAAAGTCAGAGAAGAGGAAGAGCAGGCTCCGGGCAGTCATCAGTCTCCCCAGGGCAGAGCTCTGCTCTGCTGCCAGCATCGCTGCCGCACCAGCCCAACCCAGGTGCTGGGGACGTCACCCCCCTCTCTGTCCTCTCAGTGAAAGGCAGAGGCCAGGAAGCAAATTGGGACCATGAAGCATTGCCCCAGTGCCTGCCTTTCTCCACACACCCCAAAACAAGGGCAAAACCAACAATCCCGATGTGATGCTGTTTCACAAGCAGTAACTGGACGGCCTGCTTAGCTGAAATGTTCCATTCTACAGCATTCTCCAAGCTGTCTTTCAACATACCTTTTTTTCTTTTTTTTTTCAGTTCAGGAGTGCAAAGAAAACAGCTTTGCTCTACCATCATGCAGACAACTAAAGGAAAATGTTTCTCAATTGTTCTTGGCTCCTGCACGTCTCTGCAGAGCATGGGAAGCAGTCTGGTGCCATTGTAAGGAGGCAGCGATGGCAGTGGGAGCACAAGGCAGGTATGTGTGGAGAGCTGCTCCTGCCAGACACAAAGACAAGCAAAAGCTTCAGTGTCCGCAGAGCAAAACCAACACCAAGCTGCCTCCTTCAAGTCACCTTCTCTTTGACAGCCTCAGCAAAAATCCCAGAAGTCAGGGGAACAACAGAGCTCAGGAGTTGTCTCTAACAGCAATGCAGCATTAGGATAAGACATCTCTAAGTCCAGTCTGGACTCTAGACAGCTGGAGTTACATTCATTTATTCAGCTGCAATCCATTTACAAAAAAATTAAAAAAAAAATCACCCTGAGCTCTCCAGCAGCAAGTCATCCTAGACTGAGCAAAACTAAATAGGCTACACCATTTAGGCAGCCACTTGGATTAGAGGATTATCCAAAGCTATCAGCCCAGGACAGGATGATATCTCTCACTCGGCAACGCTGGCACATGCTGGCTGTCCAGAGGTGGCTGGCTTCAGTCAGGCTTCTTTTCAAAAACATTTATAATGTATTTAACAAGTCAGCACAGCACCAAACTGCTTTTATTCTGGTGGACTACACCCAACATGGTGCTGTTCGAGCAAATGCTTTTATTAAATGTTTGTTCCTGATGTTGCTGCAGTTCCTTTATTTCAGTGGTGCAGGCAGCCACACAATAGAATAATGCAATAATTTAAATACTTAGATTTGATGAATTTTAGTTCTTTGGAGCAGAGACAATATAAATCTATTTCTTGTTCATGCAAGCAACCAGCATTTTTAACAGACGGTATCCTAGAACTATACCCCAAAGGAAGTAATTAGCCATGTCTTATGACAGTACCTCATGCTTTATTTAAATATGACAATTCTTATTTTCTGTGCAAGATTTAAAAAGTAAGAGAACAAAATTGCACTAGTCTGACAAAGCCCAGATGCTGTGGTACAAATCCCAAATTCTCAGATGATTTATTACCATACAGTTACACACTAACTCCTTTGTCCCCTCCTTCAAGGAGATCCCCTACAGAGCTGCTCTGATTGCATCCTTTCTAAGCAAGTTCCCAGGACTGATGGATGTTGATTCATCAATGACGATCAATGAATCTTAATCCCACCTCAGCCTGCTTTCACTTACGGTCACACTGGTACAACCAGTGCAGCTCAGCTCTGTGGCATGCAGAGCCCCTCTGATTCACTAGAAAGAAGCAAAGCACAGAGACTCCAAGACACCTGATGTGGCTGATTGTTTAGAAGAAAACAGCCCTGGCTGTGCAGCATCAGGCCTGGAAGCTTTAGACCAGTAAAAGCCCTCAAGATAACCATGCTTTTGCTTTTTACTTTCATCCAGTTCTTCAATGTTCAGTGTGAGATGTTAAAGATGCTGGGACTTCTGAGGTTCACACAGGCAGCAAAACAAAAGAGTGAGATCCCGTGGCAGACACACTTGTAATTGCATTTACATAGCTAAGGCAGGTAACCACAACAGTAGCAGAAAGGAAGCAACAGAGACTTCATACAAGCTAACATACAGCATATAACAGCGCAGCACCCTTGGATACATCCGCTGTGGCGTGTCTATACCATCAGTTCCTCTCAACATGTCTTACTCATCCTACTTGAATTAGATTCAGAACAGGTAGACAAGCCATGCCACTATTACATCTTCATTTTGTTGTGCAAAGGAACCAAGCAACCAAAGTAACCGGTCAACAGACACCTGAACATGAGTCACTAGTGTGCCCAGGTGGCCAAGAAAGCCAACAGCATCCTGGCTTGTATCAGAAATAGTGCAGCCAATAGGACTAGGGCAGTGATCACCCCTCTGGACTTGGCATTGTTGAGGCTGCACCTCAGATACTGGCAGCTCACTACAAGAAGGACATTGAGGTGCTGGAGTGCGTCCAAAGAAGGGCAACAAAGCTGGTGAAAGGTCTAAGGAATAAGTCTTACGAGGAGCTGCTGAGGGAACTGGGGTTGTTTAGCCTGGAGAAAAGAAAGCTCAGCGGAGACCTTCTCACTCTCTACAACTACCTGAATGGAGCTTGGAGCCAGGTATGGTTTGGTCTGTTCTCCCAAGTAACAAGTGATAGGACAAAAGGAAATGGCCTCAGGTTGCATCAGGGAAGATTTAGGTTGTATATTAGGAAAAATTTCTTCACTGAAAGGGTTGAAAAGCCCTGGACTAGGCTGCCCAGGGAAGTGGTGGCATCACCATCCCTGGAGGTATTTAGAAGATGTGTAGATATGGTGCTGAGGGACATGGTTTAGTGATGACATGGCAATGCTGGATTAACGGTTGGACTGGATGATCTTGAAGGTCTCTTCCAATCAGAATGATTCTATGGTTGAAGACAATTTCTTCTCTGTGCTGTTTCTGTAGGAGCTGGGGTAAATCTTTGTACCAGTATAAAAGCAGAAGCACATGCTAGCCTTGTGTTTCAACCAGCTTTCAATTTAAAAGGGTTGTTCCTGCAGCAGAATCAAACATCACATATCCAATGTGCCCAGCAAGTAATAATTTCAGAGTACTATAGAAGTATTCTGAATAGTTTTCATTTACCCTTTTTGTACTCAATTAAGCTAGGAGGTACCTTACAGAGGAATGGCTATAACATACCATCAGAAGTTATAGATATGATTAAACAGATCTAAAGATTAACCTTCCTTTTCAGGAGCCATAAATAACAGTGATGGTGTCAAAGAGGTACAGACAGACATAAGGATTGCTGAGCATCATTTGAATATGACGTGACCTACCACAACAGCACAAAGGAATTGAGAAGACTGCACCCAACCCACTGCTTAGGAGATTGACTCCCAGATACAAAAAAAATGCAGTCTGAGATGCAGAAAGAGCAAACTTTCACTCACGGGCTGAGAATATTAATGCCTTTGCCATCCCTTCTGAACTGCAACTACCACAGCTCTTCAGCAGCTTTCCAGGCTCCTTTCCCCCAGGCCCATGTTTTTCTGACAGACACACTGCCTTTAAACACAACATGCTGCATTTGTTTTCTTGTGTTTACCATTAAGGCTTTCAGGCATTTTTGTGTGTGTGTATTTACAATGAGTATACAAACACTTTACAAACATGATTGGTTTCATCAGCAGAGGGGTTGGGAGAGGGATACCCCTGAACCAGAAAGCCAGATAAATAAAATTACTGATAAAACCACCCGACATCCATAAGGTACTTGGTACCTGTTGGACAAAACCATAGGGGAATAGTATTGGAGAATAATTCTTGTATCTGTCCACCTATAAGCCTGCATGTAGAATCTGATTTCTGTGGGGTTCAGTCTGAAGATGAAACTTAGCTGCACAGAGTTTACTGCACGTTCTAGGCCATAGTTTACTGCAAGACTGACTTTTAGGGGTGCTAAGTAACTGTAGAATACTTGTGCAGATCAATGCCTTCTCAGATTACCTGAGCTAAAACTGAGAGCGTGAAGAAACCAGGCCAAATCTTGACTATAACCTGCCACAAAGAGAGGGAGAGAGGTTGTTTGTTTCTTGGACTGGTGGAATATAAGACAAATGTCAAGACACCAGTAAATCTGGAGAGCTCCTTTCCAAGTGCTGAGAAAATATTTTCTGCCTGGCAGGCTGAACTACATTTCAAACTGAGCATTAACTTTGGTACCAGAGCAGATCTAGTCTGTTTTCCACTGAGTAATAGAGGGTTATGATAGCTTCACTGCATTGCATTTAATGTGAATTTTATTCTTCATTCCACATATTTAAGGTACAGAAGTAAACAGATCCCCAAGATTTTAAGAAATACTGCACTGCATCACAAGTGAAGTAATAGTCACACTTTCCTCCCTCTCTCTTCACAAAGGGGAAAGGGTTCATATTATTCCTTTTTGGTTATTTCCACTGTTGCTAAAAACACTTTGTAAACAGTAAACTGAGGGCTTCTGAACATAGATGAATGGTGTCCACACAAAAATAACATGGCAATAGAAAAGAAATTATATGAGAATTAACCCATCTCAATCTGACCCATCATTATGATCATTTAACCCATGTTTTTAGCTAGTCACATCTGTTCAGTGCTGCCATCAATTTTTTTTTCACATCTGGTTTCAACTTTGCTAGCAGAAAAGAAACACCTTTGCTTTTTAAAATCATTTTCTTCCATGCTCTAGTAAGATGTAATAAAATCAGAGCACATGATGTGTTGCCAAAACAACATCCTATCTTCCTTTTCCATGATTAAACACTGGAAGAGAGAAAGGCAGTCTCATCACAGTATCCTGCACTGACATCTGGAAGACCTGTATCTGAGTCACAGCCAGCTGAAG